CTTGGGATCTTGGTCATGCACGCATACATGCCTGGCGTGAGTTTAAGCCACCGGGTCTGGAACTCGAACCATGGTCGACTCCATGGGAGTCCAGCAACATAGCCAGTACGCCAACTGCTGGTCCCAAGAAGGTAGTTTTCTATGTCAACTGGATTTTGACCAGCATGAATATTCTTTTGTCAAATAATCATAATTTAGCATCACGGGGTTTGTTCAAGACTTTATAAAAATGGAGACTGTACACTTTCTGAAATCATGTGGAGAGTCTGTGGAGATAAATAGGGTCTGTGAGTTTGTTGTCGTTTTCTGCTTATTGTAATCGGTAAGTCCTGCAGTGATGACACATAATGTACAATCACACACACAACATTTCATTTTATCTCCCAGTTTCTATTTGAAATTCATTCACTTGGGTGAGTTCTCCTATTCATGGATGTAAACTCAGGGTCTGTTAAACATACATGGTATCTCCTATGTAAGAACCATGGGTACTGTAAATTATCAAACACAGTTGACTCCAAATATTAGAATCCTTAGAGCAATTACAAGTCTGATCTGCATGTAAATTTCTTTGGAAGTCATGACTCTATTTATAGGTCTCAGGATGCCTGATGGACATCCAGCATGCATCTGTGGTAATGTACATGGGCAGTTAAAAAAGTTCTGAGTGGACTCAACATGCAATACAACTGATACAGTGAACAAAGGGGAGAGAGAGGGGTAGATGAATCCAGTCCCCAAAGATTTTTATTTCTTTCTTCCATATTTTTGTTTGTTTATTTTAAAGACAAAGACTCATTGTCTGCTATCTTCATGCCTCAGCCTCCCAAATTGCTGGGAATGCAAATCAAACTACTGTATCTGTTCTTTAGGTTGGACCAGGAATTGAACCCTGGCCTCCTGTGTGGACCCAGCCTATGGGACGGAGTGGTACATGCCACTGTGGCTGGGCATTCTCCCTTTGTTTTTGTTTTTGTTTTGTTTTTTTTAAAAAAAAAAACTTAATTCAGGGAAACTAGCTTTTCTAATCTGAGTAAAGCTGATTAATGCTCAAAACTTAGATAATATCAAGGGTTTTTTTTTTAAGTAACAAATGCATAGATTTGATTCATTTCTTAAAATGTTCAGACTAGTGTAATAATTCATGTCTCCACTTTCAATCAAAGTTACAGCCACTCTGCTCCCTGCTAGGGCCTACAGATAGAAAAATAAATGAGCAAAAGGAGGAGGTATTTTCAGCTTCTTTTTTTCTCTCTCTGTTCTGACACTATATTGCTAACTACAGTTTCTGAGTTCTCTGAAGTTGAAGCATAGGGAGGGAAAAAAGCAAAGTAGACAGGGAATATTTATGTTTGATTCTTTTACTTTCAGAGCTGATTTTATGCTCAGTGTACCTGGCTGCTATTTAAAGCTGATTTATTTCCTGCATGGGCGTATTCGTTGGATCTATCCCAGGGGCTGAGGACCTCTCCCTCGCAGTAGTCGTGATTACAGCCATGCGTTTACCTAGCTTTCTCTTTCTCAACTCACCAGAATCCGGCAATACATCCGACATGTGTGCACAGAGCCCCTGGGCTCTTCTAGTCAACCCACTGAGTAAGAACTTGAGATCATTATGCTCAAGATCAGTCTTATCATTGCCCACATTAGGTTCAAGTGGCATATTCTGTTCTTTTTGGTCCTTATAAGTTGAAGGAATGCAGGCCTATCCTCAGGGATCCACTTCATCTCTGACCATATCTGACCATGGGGTAGATGTAGACACCACCCCATGGTACTCTCTCCTCATTCCTCTCCAACTCAGAGGACACACACCAATCTCTCCTTCTACACTTGGATTAGAAGGTGGGACCATGGAACAGCCATTACAAAAAAATCTTTCTCAACCTCCGAGTAGCTTGGCCTTTTATGCTCTCATTTTTGGCAAAAGAACCATGATGTCCTTACATTTTGTCCTGGTTTGGAATACCATGTTTGTTGATTTTGGTGACTCAGTCAAGTGTGCTAACTTAACAACCTGGTAAAATAGTACTTGTTACTTTTCCTTTTTTTCAGAGAGAGATTTTTGCTATAGGGTGTGTGCACTTGCTAGAGAGACAGAAAGACAGAATGTGAGAAATCACCCCCTCCTCGGGGAGATAGTCATGCTGCAAATTCCTTCCCCTCCATTATCCTGGGATCTTGGGTGTGTACACACATGCACCTGGTGTGAGGTTTAAGTCACCAGGTCTGGGACTTGAACTTCAATCAACTACATAGGAGTCCAGCAACATAATCATTATGCCATCTGCTGGTCCCAGTATTTGTTACTTCAAAAGGCAGTTTTTGTTTCGTGCCCACTAAAAGGACCTAACTCTAAATAAAGGGAAGTAGAAAAAGGCCTGGATCATTCTATCACAGAGTTTACCTCCCAATTCCTGTTACTGTGTTCATTTACTCTAAAATGGTTCAACAAGAATGAATATACATCACCAGGAATTGTTTCATCCCTCTGTAAGTGGACATATTTGTCTCCTGGATTCAGGCTTTCTCTGAAATACCTGTGTCTTTTGTTCTCCTCCAACTCACAATACTGAGCCAATAAACACACATTACTGATTCATCCTCTTTTCCACAAACATTGTCTCTGTCCTACTGCACTTTCTGATCCCAAAATTAGCCCACTTATTTGCTACTTCTATTTATCTTCTTAGCTCTTGGCACTTATTTTGCTCAAAATACTGAGGAAAGGAATCAAAGAGACAAATAGAAAGGCAAGACATATATGGAACACAGAAATGGGTGATTATCTGTTGATGATAACATTTACAGAACCCTCAACTGGACTAGTTTGAAGTGTGTTCATGTTGGATAAATTCACCTTGCAAACTGTAGTGATGTATAGTGATATAAGAGAAACTAAAATTTAAAAATGAAGGTGTTGGACTCCCCTATGCCCAACTGCAGTTTGAGTCCTGGACCTTGCAACTTGCTTTCTCACTTTCCCTCTCTCTCTTGCTTCCTCTTTCTATCTGTCTCTCTCTGGGCAAATTGAAAAAAAAAAAAAAAGATGAATAAAGAAAGTAATTCTTCAAAAAATAAAAAAATAAATAATGCTATTCCCAGAACCAGCCAATAGCGTGGGAAAGGCAGCTGGATCCCACATGACTGACTGTGCGATTTGAGTTCCAGACTCGATGTCTTCAAAACTACACTGGGGATATGTGTGTATGTGCACACTTGCCCCAAATCACAGGAGAATAATGGAGAAGGGATTGCTGTATGGCTATCCCCACAAGGGGTTATTTCTCACTTTCAGTGAGCAGACTTGGCCTATAGCAATTTTTTTAAAGAAGTCTTTATTTAATTTTATTTATTCATTCACTTATTCGTTATTATTATTTTTAAATTTGACCAGAGAGAGAGGGAAAGTGAGAAAGCAAGCCACCAGATCTGGGACTCAAACGACATGGTCCACCATGTGGGAGTGTCCAACACCTTAACCACCACACCACCTACTGGTCCCAGCAGATTTTTTAAATATACAAATATAAAAGTAATATTCTGGTTTCCATGGTTGTGAACATGTAATTTGCCCACAGTGACCCACAGCTAGAACCCGCAGAGTCATCTCTGACCTTCTCATCAGTGTCTTGGGCCCATCAGTTAAAGCAGTTCAACAAGAAGGACTAACCTTTCTCACCTAATGACTGCTTATATGAGTCTATTTTCATACAAGTATTAATCACTATCCCAGGACCTAAGGATCTGTTACAAGCTAGCCATTTATTTTAGAGCATGCATTTGATTAAGAAATATTTACTTTCATATTGAAAGCAGAGTGTAATTTTTAAAGTGAATCTGTCCCTTCACTCTTTAGCTAAAATAGAGAATGATTTCCTTCTTCCCGTCCCATCAATCAAAGCATCACAAACAAAGCTCTGATGGATGACCAGTCACGATGGATTAGAATTATGTCATTATTAGAAAATGTCTCATCATCACTTTTCCAAGTGTATATCAATTATAGAGTCTTTGAATTCAGATAAAAGTAGTCAGGGAAACATCTTTCTGTCTGATTCCCTCATACAGATTTGCACCTTTCTTTGCTTTGTCCCTAATAGCTGTGATTTTAATACCATTGTTTCAACCTAAATAATAGCTCGGGCTCCCTCTAAAGACATTCCTCCTGACAGTCTTCTTAATCATACTGCTGGATGCTGCCAGCACTGTCTAATACAGAGCAACCAAGTGAAACTGAAGTGGAGAGAACATTTCGCTCCACATTCAAACAATTGTCACTCACACAGGTTAACATTTTGAGCCTCGTTTTGCTGTTCTATGAATAAGTCATACACTCACTATACCCTCTCTCATAGTATTTACAAAAATGCTCCCAAGTGATACGACACAAAATAGTCCTTCATACTCTACCTACCAGTATTTCTCTTAATTGCAAGCAAGCCAATAAATGAACCACTCATTGAAATGGACTCCTGAAGGAGGCAGCAGGAAATGATGGTGCTTGTGGAAGCAGAGCTACAGGAAATGTGCAAGAGCATTAGAACTGGGAAGCACTGACCCCTGTTGGTAGTGCAGCAAATATGCAATAGTTGGTGATGCTGAGGCTACAGGGGATAGCCTGGGTTTGTGTCCCAGGGTCTCCTTGTGTGTACTGGTCATGCATGCACTGGGAACTGCATCATTACATGGGGGTCCTGTTGGAGAACTCTCCTCTCTAACATAACATTTTTAAAAATGAACTTAAAAAAGAATCAGAGAGAATTACTACCTTTTTCATGTTTTCAACACTTTTTTCCCCAAATCGCTAAAGCATATTTGTTTTATTACTGACATTTTTGATATATGAAAATGAATATTCCAAATAGGTATGAATGCCCAGTACCATTGGATATAGAAAAATTAGATTTAGTCGACTGGAGTTCACGATAAGGCTAGTAAAGACAATGATAAGGAAAAAAACGTGTTTTTCAGTTATACATTCATCATACATACTGTATTCTTAAATGTTTCCTATTCCATTGTCCCCTTCAATAAAGATGAGTGAAATGCAAATTGTGGTCTCTCTTCAGTGCCTAGTGGAAATCATAAGGGAAAAGAAGAAAAATAAATCACATCCAAAGCTCCATTAAAGTGAAACTGTGACATGGAAAAAAGATTTTTTTCTATTCTGACAGAATATTATTTAACAATTATGAAATTTTTATTTTATAACAAGGAAATATAAGGAGTATGAAATAAATTGTGCCCCCATTACAACTGCAGAAGTATAGTTTAATCATCTAAATGTCATAATCCTTCTATTCTTAAAAAAAAAAAGACTCATTTGGAAAAATCACGTCATTATTATTATTTTCAAAATTTCATTTTTAAATAAAATATGACAGAGTAAATTGCCATTAAATAAATCTATTATCATGTGGAATTCTCAATTTCTCTAGTACTTATAAGCAATTAACCAGGTTAGTCATTCCTGGGTATAAACCAAAGGGAAGAAGATCTTACTCAAATTTTCAAAAGTAGCGAAATTCACTGGAAGGATGATTGCACGAAGGAAGGACAGACCTATATTCTAGCCCTGAATCTGCTGTAAAACAATTTATTTTCCCCTCTTGTAATGTAATCTTGCCTGCCCTGAATATCTCTCAGGACACTTATATTGGAAATAAAGGTGAAAAAATTATATAAATGCATTAAAAAGTAAAGTTCAACCCAAATAAAAACATCTCAACCACAGAGTTCATTTTAGCTTCTCCAGATATTCTAACTGTGATGTTATTTATCAGGATGTTTTAGCATTGGTATTGATTAGTAAGAGGGCAAAAAATTATATGACCGGTGAAATTCCAAAGGCGAGCCCTCCATGCCACATGGCTCTTATCTGGTTATGAAAGCAATATTACAGGGGCTGGTGTGGCAGACAGACTCTAGGAGGCCCCAGCCATAATCTTTCCCTCTGTACACACCCTTGGGCAGTCCCTTCTCCTTGAGCATGGGTGGGAGAGCACTTGCTCTAACCAAGAGAAATGGCCAAGGTGATTGAATGCAACTTCTGTGATTCCATTACTGCATGTAAGACTGCCTTGCTAACAGGCTCTCTCTAGAGACTCTCCTTGCTGGCTTGAGGAAGTACATAATTATGCTGTAGAAGCCACGTGGCAAAGAGCTGTGTATGGTTTCTATGAATTGTGAGCTGCTTCCAGGAGCTGAGTACAGCCTCCAGCAGAGAGCTAGCAGGACACCAAGGCTCTGGATGGATAGCAACATGAAACTGAATCTTGGCAATAGCTTCAGTGAGCTTGGAAGTGGATGATTCCTCATATCCTAAGAAGAACACAGCCTGGTCATTTCTAATTCAAGCTTTGAGACTCTATGCAGAGTTTCTAGTCACTATGTGGCTAGACTGTTGACTCTCAGAATTCCTGAAATAGTGTGTGCTGTTTTAAGCTGCTTTGTTTCTTAAGATTTGCAATAAAGTTAATAGAAAATGAATACTGTTGGTATAGAGGTCATTATTAATCTGACATAGCTATGATACATATGAAATCAGGAGGTTATCTGACCAATTTTTTTTTTTTTTTTTTTTTTTTTTTTTTTTTTTTTTTTTAGTGCCAGAGAGACACAAGAAAAAACAGAGAGAGAAAACACTCCCCAAAGGGACTTGGTAAGCTACGATCCTTTTTCTACCAGTTCTCCATCCTGTCAGGATCCTGAGCAAACTCACGTGTGCCCTGTGTATTTTTCAAGCCTCTGGGACTAGGACTTAAACCCTGGTTGACTTGTCTTTGGCACTGTTGCACTGTAGGGTCAGTTTATGATTTTGTCATAAGTCACAGCCTTAAATTGATCATTATTCTAAGACCCGAATCATAAACTGAGCACTTCTAATATTTGCACTCGATCAATTGGCTACACTCTAAAATTTTGTAATTTAAATCAAAATATTCTTTTTTTATGGGACCAGCAGGTGGCATGGTCGTTAAGATACTGGATTCCCAAATGGTCGACCACAGTTTGAGACCCAAACCTGGCAGCTTGAAAATCATGCCAGGTGCGTGTACATGCATGCCCAAAATCCCAAGAGGAAAATGGAAGAGAAAGGATTGTGGCATGGCAATTCCTCTTCCCCAGGAGGTGATTTCTTACTTCTTACTTTTCCTCTCTCTGTCTCTCTCCTCTCTGGCAAGTATATGTGCTCTATGGCAAGAACCTATATATAAATAAAATTTTTATTTATCCAGTACATACTTGTTGATTCTTATTCTAATGTTAAGAAATACCAAACAACTCTAGGTCGTAAAATACACAAGCAAGAAGTGTCTGTAAATTATGTCTAATTCTTTCCTTAGTACTGGCTGCTCCAGTATCAAGAGGTCAAAAATAAGACTTTGAAACAATATTTATCCACATGTAATGTAAGGACAACATATTTATAAATGGCACTCAGTATGCCTATTTTTCCATTCTCTCCTATCATTTTATTCATCATTGGCATCTCTTTCATATCAATTTCTGAGTTGAACTTTCCAAAGCATAGGAAAAAATAATAAAGGGATTATCTAACTTCAATGGTTATTCTCCCCACCCAGGGAACTTTGAAGAAGTGAAAATAAACCATTTAAATCTCTTCTTATGTGAGAATTTGAAGATCCTAAGAGAGTAAGTTCTTAACTCTAGTGTTAAATGCATCCCCAACTGTCTTAACCACAGTTAAGTTGCTGTAGCAGAATACCATGGAGTCGGTAGTTTCTAACAAACAGGAATTTATTTAATCACAGGTGTGGAAGCCTGTAAGTGTAATGCTATGGCACAGGCATCTGGAGAGGGACTGCTCAGTGTGTCATCGCATGGTAGAAGGCAGAAAGATAAAGAGACAATCTGCATGTTCACATGGCAGAAGAGTGAAAGGTGAAAGCCAAGAGAGTGAACCCTCTTCATGAGTCCTTGTTATAATGGCATTTTTAAGAAAGCATTGTATGACTTGGTGGATAAGAGATCTTACATCCAGAGAAAACGCATCTCTAAGTTTTCTTAAATCACTCCTCCAAGCTCCTATGGATGGATCATAAAGAATTTCGTAGTGGGAATACAAACTGTTCTTTTTTTTAATTTTGATTTTTATAAAGCAAAAATTACAGATTGTTCCTCCAGTGAAAAACTTTACATTCTTCTGTTTATTTATGTTTCTTCCCTTTGATCTTCTCATTCACCCTTTTTCACCCACTCTACAACCCACCTCCTCCTTTATAGATTCTGGTATCTGCACTTATCCTCTCTACTCTCATATCTTTAGATCTTTCCATTTCTACTATGGAGAGCAAACATTCAGTACATACTGAGTGGAGATATACAGTATGCATCTTTCAAAGTCTGGCTCACTTCACTTAACGTTAAGCCTTCTATATTCATCCACTTCGAATCACACAATAGGGTCTCACTGTCTCTTAGGGCTGAGTAATAATCCACCAACTGTTCTTAAACCTGAGCAATGGTTGTAAATTGCTTAGCTACAACTTACTAGTGGTTCTTTGTCTGGCTTTGTGTGGTTTTAACCCATACACATCCAAATAACAAAGACTAAATTTGCCTCTCTGCAGATCCCCAGGTCAGATATCTTTCACTGTCTTCTCCTCTTCTATGTCATCCACATTCTAGTCACCTTGCTTTTCTGGTACTCTGATTTCTAGCTTTTCAATTCCAAGCAACTACTGAGCCCTGAGAGTTGTAATATGTCTTCCTCTCTCTTCCCCTCCATGGCAGACTAAAAAGTGACTTGAGGCCAAGATATAAGGCAATTATAAGCTAACCTCAGATTTCCTCCTTTTCTTGGTGATAACAGATCTACCTTGCCTGTTGCCTAATGTCTCAGAACTGTTTTTTTAGTTTGTTTGCTTTTTTCCCCCAGCTATATGGAAGGAGTGCAATTCTAATGGCTGTTAATTTTCCTTGGACAGTAGCAAATGTCCTTACATTGTTTTTACCCTGCCCCTCACAAAATACAGAATACCATGTTTGACTTGACATTGTCATAGCACTAATATCACACAACTGAGCCCCCAAGGAGTAATATGCTGGAGAGAGACACACTCTCACTGCAGCATCAGTTTGGAAATGAATGAACAAGAGCACACCTTTTGGGTTCACGTCCTAGCCTGTGAGCTATTTGCTATGCGATCTTTTGCCAATCATTTAGATGTTCTCTGCCCCAGTTTTTCCTGATGTGGGTAGCGATAATAGTCATTATTACCATTATTATTAACTTCTTAAGGAAAGAAAATAGGGACCAGCAGTTGGCGTAATGGCTATGTCGCTGTACTCCCACATAGTCGACCATGGTTCAAGTCCTGGACCTGGTGGCTTAAAACTCACACCGAGTGTTTGTGCATTTTGGCCCAAGATTCCAAGAAGAGAATGAAAGAGAAGGGATTGTGGTGTGGCCATCCCCCCTGGGGGGTGATTTCTCACTTTCTGTCTCTCTGTCTCTCTCTGTCTTTCTGGCAAGCACATGCACCCTATAGCAAAAACCTCTCCAAAAGAAAAAAAAAAGAAAAGAAAAGAAAAGAAATATGATAAGATGAAAGATAACGACTCTTTATTTGGCTGGAGAGTAAGAGGAATAACAGCAATTCTCTAAAATACATATGAGATCCTGTATCACCGAGATGAGCTCTGTGGTCCTGAAGTAAGGTTAACACACGAGTGCTGAAAACTGCACTTCACGCTGTAATTCCAGTTATAGAAGGAAACATTTTTTGGCAAAAGTAGTGATTGAATACAGAGTCAAAGTGTTTTCTGAAATGCTATTCTCTGATGATGTTTAAAATTATGAGGCTTTGGGATCCTGTGAGCACGAGGATGAAGACCTTATTTGACCTGACACCAGGGCCTTGCACACTCACCTACATGCTTCTTCCTTCACTCAGTAAAAGGCCATTAAGCATCAACCATGGGTTCTGTTTGAGCTCTTGTTGGATGCAAAGAGGATTATGTGATCCTTGCCCTTGAGATCACAACCTAGAGGCAGAAACAGATATAGAAACAAATCATTTCAAGGCAATGTAATTAGACTTCTAGTCCAAGTAAGAACAAAGTGTTATGAAAAAATAAAGAAAATTTATCCAGGAGTATTTGAAGCCTTATTGTAAAATTAAGAGTGTGGTGTTGATTGCTTTTTATAAAAATCTTCATTTACATTCTTTTCCCATGGAAGTCCCAAACAATAAAAAAAGAGTTATTTAAATTCATTGAGTGAATGACTAATCATTATTATATGCCAATAAATGTATTTAATAACCAGGTGAGATTTAATTTTTAAATATTAAAAGATAGTAAAAGCAAAAATGAACAATGCTTCTCTCTTCTTTGGCATTTCTCAATAGATATTGCTAAATTGTATGATTTCAAAAAATGAAAATGTTGATGAGTTCTTGGGGACCAGCAGGTGGCGGGGTGGCTAAGGCGCTGGACACTCCCATATGGCTGACCATGGTTTGAGTCCCGAACCTGGCAGCTTCCTTTCTCACTTTGTCTCTCTCTCTCTCTCTCTCTCTCTGTTTGTATGTGTCTCTGATCAAATTAAAATAAATGAATGAATAAATAAAATTAAATAAAAAATAATTATAAAATGTTGATGAGTTCTGAAAACTTTCATACAGATTTTTACATTTACAAATCTATCTTATTTCATTAGTTGGCCTAATTTGCTTCAAGAAAGGCTGAAGATAAGTGTGTCAAGAAAATAGAAAATAAGAGATCAAAGTAAACATGATTATTTTAAAATACGGAATATTATGCGCCAAGATCCGAGCTAGGTAATTATTAACATTTACTGGATTTAATGTTTACAATCTTCACCTGAAATAGGTGCTATTATTTTCCCTATCTAGGTATGAAAAATGGAGACTTCGTAATATCCAATGAATAAAGGTTATGTGGTTTGTAGATGGAGATATTGGGATTTGAAACCAGAGCCACCAGTCTCGAAATCCTTAGCTTTTAGCTATGGTATATGCTGCCTCCAGAACGAAATAGTAAATTTGGCCCAAATTGCTGCAATAAACAATAAGAAATGAGGCCCTCAGAGAAACTGCTTCCTGTCCCCAAGGTATTAAGGGGACAGGTATAATGGAGTGGTTTAAAACAATTCTTCAGAGTTTCATTTAAATATCCTGTAAAAATTAGTTTCTTACACTTTATTTCCCCCTATCATTTTTCACCACTAAGATGATTTAGTATTCTTGCAGAGGAAGAAAAAAATCAAATTACTTCAATAGACAAGATTGATGGGACCTTGAAAAAAAATAATGATTGAAATTCTCAGCTGTTCTCCAAGGTGATTAAATCCTAATTGAGGGAAGGGCCTTGTGTGGAACCCGCAGGCTACAGCAGGACGGTTCTGTAGCTCCAAAGGAGATACAGTTGGAGCTATTGCATTCTGCGATTGCTTTAGGCAGTTCCATATCGAGTGGTTACAATTCAATAATAGGAAGGGCTGACATTATAATGATTTCTACTCTCCCTCATTATGCTGTGATGTTTGTTGAGGTACATAAGCAATGGTTCTTAAGGGCCATTAAAGAGGGCACAGAAGACCTCTCGTTTTAAATAGACAGAGCTTAGTTTTAGGTAGAAGGGGGTAAAAATCTAATCCCTGCCTAAAATGTACTGTATATCCAAACTTTGAGCCTAATGCCTTCAGGTTGTTATCACTGCTTATCAACAGAAGAGGAGGTATATGGGTGAAGAAATGGTAAAGTCCTATAATATTTAAGCAGTCGTTTATAATCTAGATTCCTTCAAGAAGTAAAATCCTGGAAAAAAGGTGTATATGTGTTCAAGGAAGAAACAACCATTTTTTTCCATTTTGCATATTGGTAAAATAAGGTTCAAAGATGTTAGATGCTTTGGTAGAGATGATCCAGAATATAAGGAGCAAATCTGTGGTTTTAGTGATGTTGTGTTTTGGTTTTGACATTGTGCATTATTGATTTTTAAGAGAGCAGTCCCCTTTCTTCATGTCGAACTCACTTAGCAGTTTTTTTTTTTTTCTTTATGTAATAGGTAATGAAGTGGGCATATTTATAACTCATTTTAATGGACCTTTTTTCAGATGCCTGCTATATGCCATTGGCAAATAAAATAAATGTTGTTTATGTCTTCTGGGAGCTTATCATTGAGGAGTGAAGGAAAAAACTCAGCAAGTGAGTGTAAGCAAGAGTTAGGTGGCTGATTTAATTCTTATATGCAATATAAGAAACAGAGAGAAGCCTATTACTCTTTTATCAGATACTCTTGCATTTGGAAAAGGGGAAAAGAAAGGAGAAAATCATTCTGGATGACCTGGAAAAACATTTTAAAATTTTAAAGTTTTATTTAATAATCACATTTGTAATAAAGAGCTGGACTTCACTTCTGATGTTTGACCCCTGACATCTTTTAAAAGCCACCTCTCCTCTATCTCCCCTTGCCCCATATAGGAAAGTCAAGTGCCCCATCCATGGCACCCATGGTAAGATCAAAGCATCCAAATCCTAGCCTGCATGTAAGAACACGCTGTTATTCCTCCCCTTAGCCACATTACAAGCCAATGCTATCACTCTCACTTAGCTCAAGGCATTCCAGACCAGCTTGGGTACCTGCCCTGCCCCCATCCACACATAAGCACATCTTGTGAGGACAAATCTCATAGCCCCTCGGTGGTGACATTATCTGTCTTGACATGTGAACCAATTTGGGTAAAAGAAGGTTTATTCTGCCCTTCATAAAAACCAGCACCAAATAACTGGCATTGTGATTATAGTCAAAGAAATGAGCACATCACCTGGGGAGTCTTTTTTTATGGGGGGGGTGTCTTTTTTAACTTTTAAGTTTATTTACTTATTTTATCCATGAAAGAGAGAAAAAGAAAGAGAAGATAAAGAAATAAAGGAGAGAAAGAGAGAGTACAGAGAGAGAGAGAAAGAGAAAGAGAGAAAGAGAAAGAAAAAGATAGAGAAAGAGAGAAACAGACATGTCCAATGGGTCTTCATGCCACAATCCACCCTTAGCTTAAACCAGCCCCAGATCATGGACACAATATGCTCCCAGCATGTTCAGGGAGGTCTCCAGACACAAACCTAGAACCTTTCCATGTAAGTCAACTTGCCACTATGTTGCCCTCTGGCACCATTTTCTTCTTTTTGACTTGCTCGCTGGCTCTGCTGGCTGCTGGCGAGAACACCCTTGAAACCGCGACCTGCCCCTAGCATGTTCTTTGAACCATGCTGCAGGGAAGCCTGTGTGGTGCCATAATGCTTTTACCAAGTCCAATCCAGCCTCTGCTTAAATGTATTCAACTGGCATTCAGGAATGCGAGTATGAGATTGAGGTCCTTCTTAAAGTGGGGCTGGGTCACGTATCTTAGCTGATAGCTGCCCTTGTGTCTCAGTGAACAATAATTGCGCATGCTTCAAAGCAGTCAATTGGATCTTTTGACTCTAGAAAAAATCATGATGAATATTATCTTCAATATAGCACCTTGTGAACACCGATTATTTGTATTAATCAGATATTGATCTCTAGTCCATGGAAGCCTTTGGAGATAGACTGAAGAAGTCATATGAAAAAAATATGAGCCCATCAAGTACCTGCTCACGTCGAGGTCCACACTCCTAAAGCCAGGTTACTTACTGGATTTCTAGGAGGCTTTACACGTTTCTGTTGCTGTTGTTAATGCCTCTGTCACTAAAAAAAAGACATTTGTCTGCGGGGTTACAGGAGAAAATACCCAAGAGACCCTATGGCACAGAAAGACTTACTCTTTAAGCCCTGTCAAAGAATTGAAAGACCTTAACACTAACAGCTAACTGAAGTCAACCGACACAGACTCTGGGTTCACCTGGGTGCTGGGGCTTATCAACATGTCAAGGGATTAATTCAAACCCAATTTAAGCCTAGGGTTTCTAAATCCCAAAAAGCAATGATCACCATGAAGGAGGCTTCTAATGTTAACAATATCGACTTAGGACACTCTGAGAAACTTAAAAATATGAGCAGAGTAGATGGGACCTTATGAAATATATCTAGCAACCACACAGATGCACACATGACTTGAAACCAAGGGGAAAAATGAAAATTAAAACAGGTATCCACTATTTGACCCAACATGAAATTCAAAATTTATTATAAAGGAAAACCACTTTAAAACCACATTTCCGCATCACTGGGGGCTCAAATTCATGTCATGCTGAGCCGTATTTTATTAGCACATTGAGAAGGCAATCTTAGAGATGGTGGGCTTTGTGGTTTTTATTTTACAGCAAAGTACGGCTGAGCTCATGTGCTTTATTCTTCTCTACTACAATCAACTGTATGACACATTCACAATTTTTGATTACTTTCAGAGTGTGCATATGAGTTTCTGTTTTCATTTTGTTCATATGCCTATTTAAAGTGAACAAAATTAAAGCATTTCAAATATGTAAGACATTTAAAATATATAAAACATTATTTGGGAGATAAGTTGAACTCCTAATCTTTAAAACAAATATATTTGTGAAAATTTTTAAAAGCTGCCTTTTTTGATTTCTTATTTACATTTACTAGTTGTAGATCTTTGTGTGGAACAATGTGGTTTTTCAAAGCATCCATAAAAAAAGTTCCTTTTGCTAAGGATATGTTTAAAGTTACAAATAAAAGAAAGTATTCGTTGTCTAATAAATATTTATTATCTGCATGTATCAAAAATTATCTTAGTTATACAGTCATGAAAGAAACAGTAAGCCTTTCTTTTCTTTTTTTTTAGAGAAAGAGATTTTTGCTATAGGGCGTGTGTGCCTGCTAGAGACAGAGACAGAAAGCAAGAAATCACTCCCCACGGGGAAGGCCATACCACTATCTATTCTCTTCCATTCTCCTCTTGGGATTTTGGGCATGCAAGCACACTAGCCCAGCATGAGTTTCAAGCCACTGGATCTGAGAATCAAACTACAGTCAACTACACGGGAGTCCAGCACCTTAACCACCACACCACCTGC